TTTTTAAATGTATTTCGATTCTATTTCAAAAGTTTGTAAAAGCAAAAATGTAAAAATAATGGATCGATTGTTCGACAACATGTTGCACATTTCTTCTGTGACTATCTTGCTCATACAAATGTACATTACAAAGAATTAGAATTAATCTAATTAATTGAAGATAACTTTTAAAATGAAGTACTGGTTGATGCTTCATAAGTGATTTTGAGTCATCGAAGTACAATATTAAACAAATTCACATAAGTAGTAAGGGAAGATCTCCTCGGAAAATTGAACACAAAATGATAGAAAAATCGAGCACGAAATTGAATTGGCAGCGGCTACTCAACAAATATTTACTTGAACTGCTATCGTGTATTTCACGAACATTTGATGTTCAATAATGCATAATTTATCAACATCGTTGCTAGCAATTTTATCGATTTTGATGGTGGAATAATATATGCTACTTTAACATTCCACCTCCGCATACAAGTCCCATTATAATATACGATAACGTGAATATTTTCTCATAAATGTTTCAGTAAAGGCACTTTTTGACACGCTTGACTATCGATTTGACTATGAAAATTGGCTGATATACAAATATACTGGTCTTCGGTAATCACGCAGCAAAACCTATATGGAAACACATTGAATGATATCAACCAAATTATTAAGATAACCACACCAGATAAATTTTTGTGTAAAACTAATTTTTCGATTAATTTTTCAAATCGTTTTTATCAACACTTAGTGATTTACAGATTTTTAATTTACTTTTTAGTGACATTGCTCCAATAATTAGTTGGAAAAGATGACTTTAAGTTTATATTTTATTGTCTACTTTAGAAAACAACCTGCTGAATGTATCTTCAGGTAATTCAATTTAATGAACTAGTGGCTCATCAAAAATATTTAATCTACTCATCTCAGCTGCACAATTGTTACTCGTTATTACCAATATATAATAATTATAATTAATATTTGGGAATATCATTGATCATTCAAATTGTTTATTTAAAACCAGAGAAGACATAGAATTAACGATGGATAAAATTATCAACTTGGTTACTGATGCAGACTACTCCCAGACATTAGCTTACTTCTTTGTCCATTGCTTTGCTTTTTTGATCATTAATCTAACAAAAGATTAATGATCAATAAAAAAAAGCTTCTAACAATGTTTATACGGCAAAAGATTTCCAGCTAACACAAACTAATGATAAGGCCAATCTTATAAAGAGAAGATAGATAATCCAACAGATTAGTTTAATACTAATAAAAAAAAATTCTATAGGTTTTCATGGAACAGAATAGTTTCTATAGAAACAACAAATTAATTGTGATTAATTTAAAGTATCCTTTCACTGAAGCTTCAATTGCATTAATTATTAACTGTGAAAATATCTGGTGTGTCTAAAGCCCAAATCAATTTTAAAGTCTTTGACAAGTGTCATATTTTAGCAATTCAACAAAATTATTTAAATAAAACAATCTAAAAATTAATTGCTTTGATGGATCTGTTACCAATCGGTACATAAAAATGTCATTTCGCGTTGGAAAATATTTTTGTCCCATTGAATGTCGAACAATTATGAGTGCTCAAACGACACCTTTATGAGCTTTGAAATGTATTTTTTATCATTGGGAGTAATATTCACAATAACAAGTTTTATGGGCCATATGTTCCACATTTCACTTTTTCAATTGTCTGTTTGTTACTTATCGTTTTAATAAATTACGCGAGAGCAGAACAATGCAAAATCTAAATAGTATATTTAGTAAATTTCACTCTCGATCAATATCGATATAGATTCATAATATATTAATATCTTTTAATCATGATATGTAAACACCCCTTGCAAAGGCAAGTTGCATGAACTTCTCGATAAGTGCAAAATAATTTACTTAATCAACAGAACTTTAATTTAGCTATTCAGATTTTGAACGATTTATTTCGAAATTCAAGTTTTCGCTTTTACTAATTGACATCTTTAAGCACATTTATAATACGAGTAATTTTATGAATTACAAAGCACAAACGTGCTTGGATGTCCTAAAAGCGCCAATTATTCCAAAGTTTAATGTACTTGTTTAATTTAACTAATTTCCTGATTAGTGCATAAACTTTATGTTAAATTTCATAAAAAACGCAGAAACAATTTTTTTAAGAAACTTAACAAATTATTTTGTGTAATATTAAACATCGGCTATAAGAAAATACTGACACAATTACGTATATCATAAACGTAGTCCTTGATAATATTTCATAATTTAAATTAATGGCAATAATGACATAAAGAATCACCAGATAATTATTAATTAATTTCTAGCAACAATCCACAAATCCATAAACTTAAGATGTCAAGATTTTTGCGAAAACGATTACATTTTTTTTCTGGTTTCTAAATTTGTGAAATATATTCAGCCTTTTGCAAAGAAACGAAAATTGTCATATACGTGGACTTTGATTGCCCAAGAGCTAAAGACTGTACAAAAAATCGTTTGGCACCATTTGAATAAGGCTAGATACACAAAGAAGCTCGATGTATGGAGTACGGGTGCCATACAAAAACTTACTAGACCGAATTTTTATCTGCGATTTGCTACTGAATCGCAAGAAAATCGCCCCATTTTTGAAGCGGTTGGTGACTGGTGTTCAAAATTGGATTACTTACGACAATGCAAAATGTAAGCTGTCGTGATTGAATCTTGATGATAGGCAATGATAAGGATTTGGTGGTTTTAGCGGGAAATTATATGCTGTGAGCTGAGAACCTATGGCAAAACTCTTCACTCGAAATTGTACGGTCAGCAATTAAACCGTCTCAAGGTAGCAATCGCCCGAAAACAGCCAGCTTTTGCCAATAGGAGAGGTATTGTGTTCCATCAGGACAACTCCTGGCAACATACAACTCGGAGTCTTGATGGATTTCATGCATCTATCTTATAGTTCTGACTTGGCACTAAGCAATTACCATCTCTTTCTGTCAATAGCGAACAGTTTTGCTGATGGAAAATTCACTTCAATAGAGGCTTGTGGAAATCGACTGAATCAATTTTAGAGAGAGTCATAATAATATTACCTTTAAAATGACAAGTTAAATAAAACGGCGCATGACTGACCTAAATCGGATCATTCTAACTTTAGTAATTCATGCAAAAATAATGTAATTTTTTAAAATTACTTCTTTAGGGTACTTCGACTAGGGTGTAAATCCGTACAAATGCAACAGAAGTGCGTTATTGCAAGGTCGAGTGCTAATGATTCGTCATTCGCTCTCGATGATATCACTTATATACGGGTCGATTCTGATTGGTCGTCATTACATTTTAAGGATAAATATTAGTACAAATCTTGAGTTAATAAAAAATGTCTGGATCAGAAGAATATTTTATCCGTTGCATATTGCATATTTTTATAAATAATAAAGTATAAATTTATATTCAGATTTATTACTCTAAAGTTTAGAGACTAAACAATAGATCAAGCACAACAGTAGTTTGTGTAGCTGTGTATCATTTATATACAGATATACTTTATAATCGACATCTATGCAATGTTTTTTGGATCATTCAAATGGGATGTTCTCTCAAAAACTCGATTTTTATTTTCTGCACTCTTTGCTTCGTATCCCCGTAACGGCTGGATCTGCTTTTGCCAAAAACTAATCAGCACATCTCCCTATCGATAGAAATCGAATGTTTTTTGAACCATTCAAATCGGTTGATCCGTGCGCCCGAAAACGTGAACGAAAAATTGTATCCATACATACAATTACATACATACATATATACAAATTACATACAATACATACACACACATACATTTTTTCTGAAGTATGCCAAAATGTTCAGAAACCTTCAAAACGCGAAGAAATGTGAAAATTTTCAATTTCGATTTTTGGACGATTATAATAACTTACCCTACGGAAAGTTGAAGATGTATTAAATTTATCCATAGTGTCTAAGAAATTTTCAGCTATTAATTGCAAATAATTGATTCAATACCTTCAATACGGGAAATTAAAAATAAATTAATTTATGAGTGATTAAAAGTATTCCGAGTGGATTCATTACACATAATTGAAAACGAACACTCTATCGTTATACCAAGTAAATCGTCTAGTTTTAATTTTAACAAACGTCAAAATAACTACTCATTTTCTCAAACTTTGATGAATTTTTAAAATTAAACTACTTGTCGTAAGGTCGTAATATTTCTGTAAGTTCTATAAGACCATGATATATACCGTCAAAAAAAGCTTCATAAAAATCGGTTTAAATTTTTCTTTCAACAGTTAATTACAAGAAAACGGCTCTATAGATTTTCAACTAAAACTAATCAGTATCATTCCCAAATGATATCTTTCGAACAGTTTTTCATTTTTGAAAATTGATTCGGTATGAGCTTAAATGTGGACGAAAAGTTTAACACTTTTTTCCAAATAACAAAGAAATGGCTCAGTCGATCGCTGCACAAAACTGGGAAAAAATAGTCCACTTCAAAGTACATCGATTGGCTTTTAAATTTTTGAAATGGTTTCAGGCGACGAAAGTTATAATTTTGACAAACACCAAAAAAATGACACTAATTTTTGCAAATTTTGACGATTTTTTTGACAAGTCGTTTATCGTAGGATCGTAATATTCTATTATAATCTACAAGACCATGGTATCTACCGTCAAAAAAAATTCATGAAAATCGTCGAAAAAATCGAAAATCGGCCGATCATCTCGTTACGGTACGGGAAGTTCCAGCAATTTGCCTTAAGGCACGATGCCATACAACCCACTAATTATTGATTAAATCGATTATTTACACATATCTGGAAGTTCATGTAACTTGCCTCAAAGCAAAATACCAATATCAACTAGTTATCTTAAATATACCATCCCGTATAATAGCAAAAACGTTTTACTTCAATCGCGTGCGAACCTTACACGCACCCTTTTTCTTTACTTTAGCTAATATTATGCAGTATTACATTTTCGAGATGTTTAAATGTAATTTTAAGCATTTTTTGAGCATTTAAAATTCATACCAAACATATAAGAAAGCTAAATTAAGTGCATAAATAAAACAAATGTGTCGAACCTCTGATAATATTGATGTAGCCTGAAAGCGCGCAACCATTCTCGAAGTACAAGGCGTTGCTGCAGTTGCTGCGCCGCTCGTTGAAGCCTTTGTTCTTCGCCTGCAGGCAGTTGAGGTAAATGCTCCACTTCCACGGTACCACATGATGCTAAACTCGATATGCCTAAAGAGAAAAGAAATCTATTTTAACACTTTGAAAACACAGTTCATAAATTAATGTTATAGATATAGTGTCAATTTTATAATTCGTAATTAGGCATATATTGTTCTTGTATTATATAACTATGTATTTATGACATTTCGTGAAGTTGTATCGATCTAATAAAAATCAATTTGCACTAATATGATCTTTTAATGAGGACGAGAAGCAGTCTGTTTGTAACGCGCACAGATTTGCGTGACAACTAAATGAGTGCCTTTTAGGCTATTAGTGCATTTTGTTCGTTGTTACCAGAAAACCTTTGCACGAACATAAAAAATAAGTGCTTGAAAACATTGCAAATGATTTACAAAAGTAATTTACGAATCTCATAAAACTAACTACTAGCTTTATCGGTTCTAAAGTACTACGGCACATATGATTAATTAATATGAACGAATAGGTGTTTTAAAAAATTCTGATATATGACTTATTAGAGTTTAAAAATTATTTAATATTTCATACTTGACAACTTTCAAGAATATCGTTACATTATATGAAATTCCATTAACACCATTACATAAAATAAGTAACCGTTATCATGAAGACCGCTGTAAAAAAGTTATGATGCAACGCGCGAATATAATTAACTTTTGGGTTCGTATAAAATTATGAAATATTGCAGTGTAAACTATATAATATGCGTATATAAAAATTGATTAGGAATTAAAAAATAATGGTAAAAAAATAAAACCGACATGTAAAACATGGGGTAAAGCGGGGCTTGAAAGTCTGCGAGTAAAAAGGTCCGCCACCATTAACTCAAAAACGGGCCTAGTACGGAATTTTTTACAATGCTATTTTAAAGTAAATTGCAAGGATGTGTAACTGACGAAACGCACAAGTAAAGTATAATTTATAGAAAATGTATTTCCCTTTTTAATAGTAATTCTGGTTGTGAGCACTGTTCTTTGGTTTACCAGGCCTTAATATAATTTAGAAGCATACGTTAATTGATTTATCATGTGTATTATAACCACTAGAATAACTAACATGTGGTTTGTGTAAAAAGTATCGCGTAAATTTATACACTGGCAGAAAGAAACAGTAAAAAAACAGTTAATAAAAAAATAAAATAAGTTAAAAAAGCAATTTTACAAAAGATGAAATAAATAAATAGTTATTCTAACTCTGCTGAAGAATATTTTTCACGAAATACTATAATAATGTAACTAAAATTTCGAAAAATTAAAAATAAACCAAGGACCTGTTTGCACTCTCTCTAGTCGTCCCATTTTACCCCGCCAATGTGGTAAAAAGGACCAAATTTGAAAAAAAAGGATATAGATACATTTCGGTAACGATGAATTAGCTTGGAATTTAATTGAACATAGTCAGATAGTTGTTTGTTTGATATGTATTATTTGTTGTGATATAATTGGTTTGATTTTCATAATATAATTAGTCAAAGTCAAATCGGACGTTTGGGCTCCGCTCGACCTTACTTGCTTTAATGTGATATTATATTATATTATATTATATTATATTATACTTTAAATTTGAAAAGAACCTTTATAAGATAATATGTAAACCCATTTTACAAAAAACAATTTTTTAGTGGTTCTTTTACAACATTGTTGAAACAGCTTTAAATAATATGCCATTGGAAACAGAGCAAATATAAATACAGTGAAATAAAACATAAGAAAATATATATATATATATATATATATATATATATATATATATATATATATATATATCAAGTGAGAACTATAATGTTCAAAATCTTTTAAATTCCCTTCCGCCAATCTGTCAACTGAAAGAATTGTGGTTGTGTCTACTTTTCCGTAGAAAACTACGAGTGCTGATCGTAATGCCAGGGCTCAGTTTTTCAACAAGTTCTTTCTTCTATGTTAAGAGTCAAAATTGCAATCTCACTAGCGAAGGAATAAAAAAATATTTTACTCCTTTGAACATGTTAACGCTGAAGTTTAAATGGCTAGACTCAGAAGACTAGACATCGATGAAATTAATGAATCACCGGTCAAGACATGTTCGTTTCTCAGCAATTTATTTTCTTCGCAGTGACCGACGCAAGCGAAATTGATAAAACAACTCAAACTAGGAGTAGAAGCTAAAATAACAAATTTTAATAATTCTCGTGTGATCAAGTATTATTAAATACTCAGATATAACCATATGTATAACACAAGAAGTATTAAAAAAATTGCGTTCAACAACTAAAGCTAATGTTTTTAATTTCAAAATGTAATATAATACTAGTTACCTAATTAACTTCCCGTAGGGTAAGGTATCGTAATTTTTTTTATTAACTTCCCGTAGGGTAAGTTATTGTAATGGGCCGAAAATCGGAATTGAAAATTTTTACATTTCTCGACGTTTTGAAGGTTTCTGAACGTTTTGGCATACCTCAGAAAAAATGGATGTGTGTGTGTGTGTGTGTGTGTGTGGTGTGTGTGTGTGTGTGTATGTATGTATGGATACAAATTTTCGCCCACGTTTTCGGGCGTACGGATCAACCGATTTGAATGGTTTAAAAAACATTCGATTCCTATTAATAAGGAGAAGAGCTGATTAGTTTTTGGCAAAGACAGGTCCAGCAGTTACGGAGATAAGGAGCAAAGAGTGCAGAAAATAGAAATCGAGTTTTTGAGAGAACGGAGCATCCGATTTGAATGATCTAAAAAACATTCAATTAGTAATGATTGGGAGAAGGGGTTATTAGTTTTTCGCAAAGGCAGGCCCAGCCATTACGGAGATACAGAGCTAAATGTACAAAAAATGGCAGTTTTTGAGGGAACTAAGCGTCCGATTCAATTGATTCAAAGAACTTTCTGCTTGTCTTAACAAAATAATTGATTTTGGAAAAAAAAATTTTGTACAATTTTTTTTTTTTTTTTTTTTTTGATTTTTTGTATATCGAAAATAATTCAGATTTTATTTTTAATTTTGACTATAGTTCTAATATACTTCAAACAAATAATTTCAACTCTGCAATTCAGTTTATATAATTCTTATAAATATTAGACAATGTTACAATATTTATAATAATCTATTTGAAAACATTCAATATTCCTCGAACATTTCGTTACGGTACGGGAAGTTCCAGCAATTTGCCTTAAGGCACGATGCCACCCACCCCACTAGTTATCTCTTTTATTTACAACTGTCCAGTAAATGACATTCAATAAATTTGATGAATTTACAATAGTCGGCCGAAAAGGGACATTGTATGGGCCGAAAATCGAAATTGAAAATTTTTACATTTCTCGACGTTTTGAAGGTTTCTGAACATTTTGGTATACCTCAGAAAAAAATGGATGTGTGTGTGTGCATATGTATGTATGGATACAAATTTCCAGTCACGTTTTCGGGCGCACGGATCAACCGATTTGAATGGTTCAAAAAACATTCGATTTCTATTGATAGGGAGAAGAGCTGATTAGTTTTTGGCAAAGGCAGGTCCAGCCGTTTCAGAGATACGGAGCAAAGAGTGCAGAAAATAGAAATCGAGTTTTTGAGAGAACGGAGAATCCGATTTGAATGATCTAAAAAACATTCAAATAGTAAATGATTGGGAGAAGTGTTTATTAAATTTTGGCAAAGGCAATCCCAGCCATTTCGAAGATACAGAGCTAAATATGTAAAAAATGGAAGTTTTTGAGAGAACTGAGCATCCGATTTAAATGATTCAAAAAACTTTCTGCTTGTCTTAACAAAATAATTGATTTTGTAAAAAAAAATTTTGTTTCAACTATTTTTTATTGAAAAAAAATTTTTTTTGTATATCGAAAATAATTCAGATTTTATTTTTAATTCTGACTATAGTTCTAATATACTTTAAACAAATAATTTCAACTTTGCAATTCAGTTTATATAATTCTTATAAATATTCAATGTTACAATATTAATAATAATCTATTTGAAAACATTCGGTATTCCTCAAACATTTCGTTACGGTACGGGAAGTTCGAGCAATTTGCCTTAAGGCACGATGTCATACACCCCACTAGTTATTTTTTTAAATTAGTTGCAAGTAACATTTTGCCTTAAGGCAAGTTGCATAAACTTATCTCCACGTACATCTATCAATTAGAATTAAAATTCAGCTATTTAGATAATGTTCAACTGCTAATTCGAAAACAACATTTTCGCTTTCACTGAAAAGTAATCTATACAATTATACGTTTTCGAATTTTTTTTAATACGTTTTCGATGGCTTTCAAACATACTTCTGAAATTTACGTTTGAAACGTTTTATCTGTGAACGTCAACTGTAATCAGTAACTGTAACCTTGATAACTAGAACGTACATATGCTTTGGCATAGATTCTGATTTAAATCGCTTAAGCGTGCAATAAAATAATAAACATTATCAAATTTTTTATAAACATTATTAAATACAAAGGAACGTCTTGACCCACCGACTTGAAACGTCGAGAAAACATAAAATAAGCAAATCAGATTTTTTTATGAAAACAAACTTCTCCTTCGGAAAGTTAATAATATTAAATTTCATTAGATTTTAACGTTTAGCTATTTTTCACTCTTTTATTTTAATGAGTTTTCCTTTAACATGCAAGAAGTCATTTTATAATTTGGAAAAGAAATATATATTTTTTAAAAAAGATTAATTGAAATCATATTAATAATGACAACGATTTTCACTTGGAGATATAGATAGCAATATGTTCCCAAGTGAAACTAGCCCTTGCCCGGCATTGCTGCACCAATAAAAAGTCAGCCCTATTAGATTAATTCTAATAACAAAAATTATCAAATATGGATGGATTAACCATTTGGGTTACCATCTAAAAATACGAAGTAAGGAGAAGTTTCAGCCCAACAGCTCATAGGACGTAAGGTTCTGATTGCTGTTAAAAATATAATAATAAAAAAAATATATTGCTTACTTCGAATGTTTAAAATATATTATTAATTTTTTAAAAATACTGCTATGTATAAAAATATTAAATTTCACAAACAGATATATGTATGCA